TTAATCAAGAGGAAAATATTGTTATAATTTATGAATTGCATTATATTTTCTTCTCTTTCAGACGTGACAGAGCATTCACAGTCGCCGTTATACGGCCGATGACGATCATCAGCATTCAGGTAAACCTATCGCATTTCTCAATACATCTCTCAAATAGTGGAGATAGTGTTTTTTATTTTTCAACACATCAACACACACACACATAAATCCATAAAACACATTCACACTGTGTCTCTATAAAATGAATGCCTTACATTTTATACACACAGACATAAACAAACAAACTAAATATTTACCTATTACAATTAACTAGTGAACATTATATACTCGTATATACATACATATACATAATTAGTTAAACTTTGTTGGCGTTCAATGTTTCCTGTGTTCTTTTGTCTCTTCTCTATAAACTTGTATATTTTATTAATCGAACCTTTTCGTTGTGTCTGTATTTTCATTTAACAAAACATAATTGTCAGTTGAAGTACACATTTAGATGGCAAATATAAACCTATAAATATTATTTAATTATTTTTTTCTCATCACGATATTATCTATGGGGCACCAATTTTGGGCCAGAATCTCTTGTGAGATGACTGCAATATGTCGAAATACAAATCCTTCACTTCTTAATGACATATTTTTACCGAACACCCAAACTATGTGTCTTTCATACAATTGCTTGTAACATTCAGATGCTCCTTCTAAATAACTTACAGAGTGATTTACAGTACTCAAGTACTTGACGTATTTGCATCTGATCAAGATACATTTTTGAGTTCAGTCGATTTTTTCAGTACAGGAATGTAACCGATGCGTAGTAGTACAGAGTATTTTGCCTTCATGTATTTGGGTAAAGCATGTAAAAAAGAATAAGATACCGCTACCGATTATTTCGACAATCTGATACATGTCCGTCTTTCTATACATTTGTTTAAGTAAATTACTGATTGAGACCAAATGTTGCAAAGTACGTTTGCTTAGTCCAAGGATTAACCTATTAAATTCGGCTAATTTCGGTTTAGATAGTTCCCATACATATTTCCAATCGATCTCATGTTGAGTGTACGCCAAATACGTAATATTTTCCAGAAAAGAATTGATTTTACAACAGAGTCGAAATGGCTTTAGAAAAAAGTCAGTCAAACTAGTGAAAGTCGATTTGGATAAATTTATTGTTTATATACACCCATATCTATAATTCGTATTAAATTCCGAAACATGGACTGGATAAAATAACGTTCGGCAACCGTATACATAGAGGACGTTGAGTTTACAAAACTAATTATATTCCTGTTATAATAGGCATTTTTTTCGGGGGAATATAGACATATACAGGGTGAACTAAAAAACCTGCAACAAAAGTCAAACGCCATAATTTTTACTTTTTTGTTTAATTTATTGAATGAAAGCAAACAATTTCGGAAAGTAGCATCAAATTTTAGGATAAGTTTAGATTTGTTCGAATTGGTCACCTTTGGCACAAATACGGTCAATGAAACCGTCACACACTGCTCGAATGATGTATTTTGGTATTTGGCCTATTCCCGGCGAAGCACTTTGTTGATGTAATCGACCACTTTTGGTATTTTTTAGAGCTAACCTTGCTTTTTCAAAATCTCCAGACACAATAGTCCAACGGATTGGTATCCGGAGATTTGGTGGCCATTGTGCGCTGGAACAGGAAGCGAGAAACCTCATTTTGTAAACATTCTTGGGTGGTGCGTGCTGAATGCGATGATGCTGAGTCCTGTTAGAATGGCCAAGGTTTGCGGCCACAAAATGTTTGCGTGCCCAAAGCTTTAATACACCCTCCAGAATATTTTCGCGATAATATTCGGCATTTATTCTGATGACACGGTCGATTAATATGAGCGGAGAGCGACCGTTGGCTGTTATGGCGGCCCACACCATCACCAAAACCAAATTCGGCAGTTTACCACTTTCGGCCAGCGAAAGCAACTGTTAAGCTCTTTTGAGTCTATTTTCTTTTTGTTGCGGTGTAAGTTCTTGCAATTTTTGGAATTTCAATGGCTTTACTCCGAGCTCATTTTTCAATATTTGCCGGATGGATATTGCGATATGTCCAGCTCACGAGCCATTTTTTCGGCTACTCTGCGACGCGGATTTCGATCAAGTCACTTCTTTACTTTTCGAACCATATCAGCTGGAGTGCTCAACGATAGCCACTCGTGGTTTTCCAGCCAAATATAAATTCTCACCAAAATGCTTTTTGTACGCTTGGTAAACAATATAATGAGCTGCCACTAGAATGGCTTAAGAAATGACAGCAGTCTGAAGTTGTTGCAGTTTCTTCATCTCACCCTGTATTTTTTGTCATTATAATCCGTTTTTATGCAATAAAGATTTTCCCGTTTCTTTACCAAATCTTAAGAAATCTTAGGTTTACAAAAAGGTATGTCACATTTTTTTTTTTAATGTAAAAATTCATTTTTAGTAAAACTCAACTGGCAGATAATGTTGTTGTTAATTTAAGCTCCCAATATCATTATTTTATTTTTTTTTCAAATAATTCAATTTTTAAATTAATTTAACTCTGTCTGAATGAATGTCCACCTAACGTAGTGTTTTCAGTAGTGAGTCTTTCTTGGTTCGTGTTCTCAACTTGAGTAAAATCAACAAAAAAAAAATGGTTAGTATAGCAGTTACGATTTCAGTTATTTGGGTTTTCGTTACAAACCACTTACATAATTATATAAATGTGCAAAAAAAAACGAAAAAAAATTATATATCTCCAAATAACATACTGTTTAGAGTTTGTGTCAGAATTATTATTTAATTTGTGTGTGCGTGTCCTTTTGAATGTTTTTTTTTTTTTTTTTTTGTGCTGAAAGGAATGTATTTGTTAGCAAACAAAAAATAAAAATATCAAGTGGAATTAAATAACTTTCGTAAAAAATTAACATAACAACGGCTTAATGACAAACCTTACAGAGTTCCGTGATCTAGACTTTGTGCAATCGATAAGTTCAAAAACAAAAAATAACATTTCTTTCTCAAGCTCACGATTCCGTTTGAACTCCTGCACTTCAGTGTTATTTTGCACTTTGGCCTAGAGCGTTGTATCCATTTGACCGGACATTTATTTCTATGTTTAACGTTTATATTTCTCCTACTTTTTCGCACTCACACACACTCACTCACTGCTGCACACATGCACCCACTATTTCTGTTAACTTGAACGTCAACAAAGAAAACGAGAACAAAACAAGCGAAGAATTAATTCTAAGAAAAACAAAATCAAAACAACAAGCATTTGTAAATACTTCTCTCTCGCATACTTCTACAACAAATACTTTTAAATTTCGATAAAAGGGTAATTCCAAAATATATTTGATTTCATTTGATACTAGACATTGATTTTGTTAATAATATTTAAGAACTTTTAGCATTTGCCTGTATTGAATAATTTTATTGACCTTGATTGTTGCGGTTTGCTGCTAGCCAGCTAGTTTAAAACAAACCCATTTTTTTCTTTTTTAAACGGAGGCATGTCATATTTAGAACAAAATTAGAACGGCGTCTGTGATTTGAAATTAGAGTAAGGGCTTCGAGCCTCTTTGTTGTTAAAAATTGACTATTTTGGAAAGTTCGCATCCCAAACGAGTTATTATGTTCGACTAAGACTCCGACTACTGCTAAAATTGTCCGACACGAGACTCCGTTTTCGCAGCCATGCTATTGTAAATAAATAAGTTTGCTACAGAAGGGAAAGTGTTACTTTCTACTACTTCAATCTGTATAGCATATCCCCACTCTCACTTTCAATTTAATCCTCCAAAAACCATAACTTATTCGAACTAGTCCCAAATATTTTTAGGATTCATACTGCAAATGCTGTGAAGCGTAGTATTTTGCCTCAAATATGATAATTGTTGTCTTAGTGTATTCACAAGTCCCGTAATATGTCCAATATATGGTCGCAAGCAAATTATTTCTCATAGGCCCTCAAAATTGTCTTCAAAAATCAGGAAACGAATAAACCAAAATGTGACAAAAAATATATTCTGATTTTTTTTTAGTTTTTGAGGTTATTTGAAAATCTTGTTTTGGTACAGTAATCAAAAAAGTTTTTTCGAAGTCCCTGTAGGGCTAGATTTCACTGAGATATATTTTAAAGATTTTTATGTGGCTTTTCCTTGATTTTTAGACATTTTTTTATAATTTAAATGATTTTTTTTTTTTTTGGAATTACCCTTTACCCGTTACCAAAACGGAATGACACAATGACAAAATTCTCCTACTCCTCCTACTCCCACTATTTCACAGAAAAAGGTATTTTGAAGAAACACGGCTATGGCATGGTCCACAGCGGAATGCACGATGACGGACAATCGGATAATATGGAATTGATTGCTCAGGACAGCACCATGGCCTCGACCAGCAATGCTGCTGTTTCGGAAGTCGAACGAACTCTCAAGTCCCTCAATGGCTATCATGAGGACATTTTGGAAGCTTTGCGCAATGCTGCCTCACATCGCGGCACTGGCACCGGCAACACGCCCGTCGGCACCGGTAGTTTGAGTGAAGAAATGATACGCAAAACTCTGCAGGAATGTGCATCGTCTCAGCTGGGCTACTCACCGAGCCCTATAAACGTTCGGCCAGCTCAAAGAATAGCTCGCGTGAGAATATTTGCGATCAGGGTGCCCAGCACACCCTCTTGGATATGTCCGGTTCGGGAATGGGTGGTCCGCACGGCGGCGGACCAATTATGCATCATCACCGCTCGCAGCATCAGCTGCACCAGCCACTAGTGCAGCAGCAATTGCCGCCCGACGACGAAGACGCCCCCGCCACGGGGCCATTGCGTATACGGAATCTCGAGGACCTCATACGCCAGCTGGAGCACCATTCGTCGCGCCACATGAGTCCCAGCGGCTCGGAGGACATACGGATTTCGGAAAACGAAGGCGACCGCCTCTATAGATTAGATAGTTCAGCCGCTTGTAGTGAATCCTCGCAAGGGTTAGTAAATAACTGAGTAATGTGCTTGCTGCATCATAATTATTGTGTTGGGCTGTATTGTAGGTGTCTATTTTTTGGCATAGATATACTCGTACTCGTACATAACAAGAGAACGCTTTCAGATGTTATACTTATTTAGGAATTGATTCATTGATTGAATGATTACTACCACTACTACTAATACAATAATAACAATAATACGCAAAACATATAGACATGTTTATTAAGAGTTGTGCAACCCGCTTTCAACAAAAACCAAAAAAAAAAACAGTTGGGAATTCCGAAGTAGAACTTTGTTGATGGCGAATAGAAAATACGAATGAGAGAACTCAACCAGAATTGGACTGGCCCAACAAAGTTTCGCCTCCGCAATTCCCACCAATAAATGCTACAATATCCCCTTACTATGTTAACACAGCATACTTAAATAAACCAAAATAAACCAACTACCAAGTACCAGTTACCAAAAAAAAATACCAAAACCACAAAATGTATTCGTATGATAGAACTCAGAATCAGATCCATTCATACGTACACATGCACCCAATCCGAACTAAACTCTGAATATGAACCAATTTCTAAAATCTCTTGCAGACTATCGCTATGGCGTGGAATACCTTGTGTGATGAAGGTAAAGGTACAAACCAAGTGGGCGAAAGGGCACACATGAACAAAACAAACACTATCAGTCTCTCTGTCGCTCTCTCTCGCAAACACACACACGCATACACCTTTATGTATGTATGTATGTACGTAAGAACAAAGAAATTTAAGTCCAAAAACTAAAAACAATTCCCCCCTCAAATGAACAGGAACTGTGGGCTTCTCTAAATAAATGTGCATTGGCTATACAAAAATAGGCACCTAGAAAAATCGCTCCAATTAAATACTACCAATATCTGACTAGAAGATCCATTTGAATCTAAAAAATAATCTTGTTTTTCTTCTTCTTTATTTTGTTTTTCTAACCTCCCACCGCTCACACAGATCTAATCAGCAATTAGCACAATCGCAAAAAACTGCAACAATACATCCGTCTTATAGCAGTCGTTGTCGACCGCGTGCCGAAGAGGAGTCGAGATTCTCGTATGGAAGGTACAGACATCCCACTACAACCAGTAGACATCCTTCACATCAGTCACACTCACCTCATGCTTTCGGCCATCATGCACATCACTCGCATGCCCATGGCCATACCACGCACGGCCCGCATTCATCGCATCACTCATCGCACACGCATTTGCATCAGGACGAAGACGGCATCTATGAGAGTGCCGATCCCCACGATCGTTCGATGGTAGACCAACGTCTCGATCCTCGGGAAGTGGCCGACAGTGAGAGGTATGTATGCCCGAGTTGGCATTTTGTAGAATAGAACATAGCCCCCACCCCACCCGTAAATCTTGGGCCATTGTTGTGGATGAAACCCGGCCCCACCCCTCAATTCTGTTGTTATAAGTTATGAGTTGCCATGTACGAGTGTGTGTGCCGATTTTGTGTATAATTTTGAATCGTTTCTTTTTATCGTTTATTTTCATCGACACATAACCAATCGACAATCATCCTGAATGCGCTTTGCATGTGCGCCCCTCCACCACATCGTTATTGTCTTCGTGATGGTGCAATGACAAAAATGGACACTGCCACCTCCACGATCAACACCACCACCACCACCCACCATCATCATCATCATTATTATTGTTGTTGTTATCATTATGATGAACCAACCACATGACACCATGGTGTTTTTCGTTCTTATTCTCTTCTATTCTCTCTCCTTTCCTTTTGTTTTCATTTTGTGTTGGCTTCTTTATCATTTGTTTCTCATTTCATTTTAATTGAAATCTGTTTTAAAATTTCATATTTTTCTTGAGTTACGTTCATTCCGTTACGTTGCGTTGCGTTGCGTTACATTACGTTACGTTACGTTTACGTTATGTTATCGGTTGTTGAGTTGCTTTTCTCGATTTATTCTTCTTCTAATTCTTGTGTGTTGTGTGGTGTACGAAAAAAAAAAACAAAAAACCAAAAACAACATTTATTTGTTTATTTGTGTTTTCGTTACTCCGTGTACCGTTGTTCCTGTTATGATTATTATTTTCTAGTGATGACTTTATTCAAGCTCAACAACAGTTAGCCCGATGGGCGAGTGAGGATGTGGTATCCGTCGTGGTAATGGAGCAGCAACCGTTAGCCGGTACAACAGCGGATTCCCAACAATCCAACGCCGGCGGACACACATCGGGGACGGCATCAGCGAATACCGTTATCCACCACCACCAGCATCAGCACCAGCACCACGGCGATCATCCATCCTCGGTGGGAGCGGCCAATACAACCTCATCGTCAGTCAATGCCCATATGGCAGCGAATATGGCAACCGTGCCAAATGGCATCGTTGTAAGTCAGAGGGACTACTACCCCTCGCCACCCTCCACGGAGACCGAAAGCAGTGGAAGTGTTATCCAACCACTCAATCGTCGCTACACGCTGCAGGGCGATTCAGCTCAACAGCAGCTGCAATTGCATCAGCTACACCAACAGCAGCATCAGCACCCCTCCCATCAGCACCAACAACAACAGCAGCAGCAGCAACAGCAGCAGCTCACCGGCGACAACACCACCACCACCAGCAGCAGCAACAACAGTCAAACCGGTCAAATCATGGAGAATGGTCGCTATCCCGAATATAAGCACTGATAGTATAACACCATCGCTACCAAACGCAAAAGCAACAACAAAATCACAGCCAACAACCACAGCCACAGCCAATATCAGCTTAGCTCCCATGCCCAGGCTCAAATTCATCGCCAAGACCTTGAGCCGCCACAGCCGCAGGAACAGTCATCCCAGCCGCAGCCACAGCAGCAACAACAACATTCGCCTCATTGCTTTGCCCACAAATTACAGGCCATACCCTGAGGCGATTCAGGTGAAATGCTGAATGGCTGGCCTGTGCCTGCCTCAATAAAACCGAACAAATTTCATGCAAATCCTTGTTTGTATGTCTTGCCCTCCCCCTCTCAAACTTTATCTCTCTCTCTCTCTGTCTAAGTAACCGCAAAGTGATGCATGCCCCACTCTCTCGGGTCGATAAGAGGCACACAATCACAGTCAAGAAACATTCCTACTACAACAACAACATGCATTAAGAAAACAATATTGGATCCACTGCAGCAACATCTATATTCTAAACAAACAAACTCGATTAGTTATCTTCAAACAAAAAAAAAAAAAACAAAGAAAACAAGAAAAAACAAAAAAGAATACAAAAATAAGAAAAAAACAAAAGACAAATATTGTGATTTTATACAAAGTAGACGATATTCATATTTTAGTTTAAACAAAACAAAAACAAAGGAAAAGTAATAAATTTAAAGAAAACAAATCTTTAGAAAAAAATTTAACGAATTGATTGATAATGGCCAACAACACCACATCCCCATCCCCCCACACCCACGAAAACAAAAATCACCAACAGCAGTTGCAGACATTGAAAGCAAATGAAACTGCTATCATGCATTCGCGCATAGCAATTAGTACCGCAAATGCCTGCCTCCTCCCACCCTGTGTTTGTCCTTGTCAATTGAATACTCACTCCTTGAGTGCGTGTGTGTGGGTTAGTAAGTGCATGGGTGACATTTGTCTTTCAATGCCAAAAACAATGCAACGCTCAGAACAATTACTTTAGGCTAGTCAAACAAAACGTCCTCTCCCCTCCCCCGCCCCTTTCCATCTAATAGTCTCTCACACATTGCCACCAATGCACTGAATACCACATAGAACACACTTTTCCCTTTCCCACACACTCAAACATGTATAATTACAGGAGTGCATCATACACCTCACACACACACACATACACCACTGCTGTTCTTTGCCCCTGACCACGCTCAATCACAGTCACTTAACGTGTGAACTCTACCGACTGATAATTCTCTCCCCCCATAGAGAGCCAATGATACACAAAATGAGTTCCGCGGATTGTCACTGTGTGGCCGACATCCATCAACGACAAGTTGTGGTTGAAACTGAGAAATTGTATTTGCCGAACATAGAATTTGGTTCTTTAAAGGACGTTATTAAAACATTTTGATTCTTTTCCCAACTTATATATTAAAATATATATAGGGTAAGTCTGCCTAAATTCGGCATGTCCCAGTAGCCGGCACTTTTCATTTTTAAGCCCAAATAAATGAAACTATTGTAACTAAATGTATTTTGTTTACTTCAAATATATTGTCAGCTATCTTTGTGCACAATTTCGCTAAGAAAAGATGAATTATTCTAATAAAAATTAAATGTTTGTCTGTGAAGGTCCTCGACAATTCATATTCTTAAGAAAAGTACAATAAACACGTCGAATCAGTTTAACTAAACAAAAATATTATATTTTAATGAATCAATTTATTATTATTAATTATACTTACAAAAAAATTGGCATGCCGACTGTTGGAAAATGCCATACCGACAATTGGCAAGTGGTGCGACTACTGGCAAAAAAGCATTGTTTTAAAAAAACAACAAATTTATGAAATTTAATAAAAGGTTATTAAAACTTTATTTGTTATTGCAAAAACTATACAAAATTTCGAATCTGAATAAATTAACTTTGTAATAATTGAAAAGTTCCACTCAGAATGGTGAGCGATTAAAAACGCGAAAATCCTAAAAGTGCCGACTACTGGTATACTTACCCTATCGAGGTTTTCAATTTATTAAGAGAACATTTGCAGGATCTTTAAATACTAGATTCAGACCTATGTGTTTTCATTCAAGGATGTATGGAATTAAACTCTCAACATTGTGGCAACAGAGAGTGTATATCATTTGAAAATACAAAACTGTGCCTAGTCGAAGAAATGGACAATACCCTCTTCGTCGTACTTCTCGACAAAAAGTAAGAACTTTAAAATATAACAACTTGCGAAATCCCAAATCATCTTTAAAAGTTGTCAATATTTTTTTTTTAATTAAATTGTTTAAATGTTTAAAAATGTCATTTATGTAATAGAAAGTGAGAGTTGTATTCGAATAAATTGTAACTTCGTACTTTAGCATATTTGTAGCGAACTAAGGTCACTCCCTCCTTTAATTATTTTCCATATTTCATTTAGATGATGTATAGGAAATGGTGTAACACCAAAATTCCCTCTTATATCTGAAGATGTATAAATTAATGTGCTGCTTACTCCTCCTCAACATTAAAAATAACGGCTATAATTGCCGTGTACAATGGAGAAATCTACTACATTTGTTTTAGGAGTTACAATCGCTCAGTTTGGTTTTTCTATAATAGTGGTAGGCAGTTGAAACGGCTTAAATGACCGAATCAACCAAAATAATCGAAATGCGTCAAAGAAAAGATCAACCACAGCATTGGAAAGCTCCTCTCTTCTTCTTCCACGAGGCTTTCATGAGTTGTAAGAAGGAGTATGAACTCCCTTCTACAACCCATGCTAATATACGGTTGAAGAATGCAAGAAGCAAGAATTCTATGCAGTTCAGCTCTCATGCATATTTTACAGGTTTCGTAGTATCGATAGGAATTTTAAAGACAAAATGATTTCAATAGATTCTTGACCTCCCAATCTTAAAATTACCTTCGGCATTTTGAGAACAAATTCATATGCTTTTCTAAATTAGTTTCCAATTAATGACCGATTTAACTGTTATAAATTTCAAAATATCTCAGTTTGAACCATCAACAGCTCAAATTCAATTGCCATTCTTATTTTATCACTCCAATGTAAAATATTTTCCAGTTTACTTCATGTAAATATGTACATACAGAATTACTTTACATAACCCCACCATTAATCCAAATTCCCCCGCCCCTCTCTATTAGACCATAGATAGAAAGTTGTAATATCAATTGAAAACAAAAGAAAAATAAAAAATAAATAAAATAAAACTAAAAGTAAGCATGAAAACACAATTGAAAACAGGCATACATGTAAACGTTACTTTTAAACAAAGACTGTAAATATGTTATAATGAAGTAAAATACAAAGAAACTCAAATAGGAAGCAACTAGATCTCCATTATATGGTTGGTCAAGTTAATGGAAGGATACTTCCATCCGTATAAATATCCCCGACACATTTTCACCCCCTGCCCAAAGAAGATGGCCCTTCCCCAAAAACCAAAAAAAAAGAAACCAAAAAAAAAGATTAAAATCGTTGTATATATGCAAAGTGTATCCATTCATCCATGCCTACTTGTGGTAGGGTGTGAGATACTAGGTTAAAAAAGTAAATAAATTAAAAACTAGGAATAATTAAAATTAATAAAGAAACACAGCATGAAGAACAAATGAATAAAATTAAGTGAACTTTTTAAGTCAACAATAATAAAACAGGTACTACATACATACAGTTAGTTAAATTAAAGCACTTAGAAGAGAATAAAATTAAACAAAGAAACAAACAAAAAAATGAATTATTAAAATTTAAAATAGAAAGAAAAAGAACAATTTTATACAAAACAAATGGCGTAAATTTGAGGAAAACAAATTACATGAAAATCTCAAAATCAATAACAAGAACAACAACCAAAAAAGACTCGAATTTCAAGAGTTTTGTTAGTAAATTTAATAGAAATTTAAATGAAAGCAAACAAAAATTAATGTAGATAACATAAAAGCAACAACAAATGGAAAATACTACTAATACATGCGAAATAAAAAGAAAATAACAATATTGAAAATGTCAATTTCTATAAAACAAAATAAACAACAAGAACAAACACTCGTATGAAAACATACAAACACACACGCGCATCTCATTAATAATTTACAGAAATATTTACACACGCATTAACATCACACACACACTCACACAAAGAGTCTCACATGCAACAAAAATCATTGACACAAATCACAGGACATCAACGTCAACATCATCATCATCACCCACAACAACAACAACGTCATTATGAGTGTGTTAAATATTTAAAAATTAAGAAAACGAAACAAAAAATTAATATTAAAAAAAGGAAACAAAAAAAGACGTTGTAAATGACATAAACTACTACTACTACCACTACTATGGCAAAATGCATTGATAATTAAAATACAATAATTTAATTTAATAATGCAACAAAACTGCAACATCAACGACATTAACAACACAAACAAACCGACAGGCAGACAAATAGACAGACAAAGGGACAGAATTGCAACAGAATTAACCGCAAATTCAATAAACTGCAACACTAACAACAACAAAATTACAAAGTTAATTGTATTGCAAAACAAACAAACACACACACACACATGCATACCATCACACAACACAAGCTCACTCATCGAATTGAAAGCAACAACAAAAATAAAAATCATTGTTAATATTAATCAGTTAATTGTAACAATAATAATAATAATAACGACAACAACAAAGCCATTTCGCAAAAACAAATAAAAAACCAACAACAATAATGAAGCTCATCAAACAGAAGAAAATACTTCAAAAACAAAAAAAAAAAACAAAACAGACAAATAAACAAAACAAGATAGGTAGTATGGACGATCTCAAAAAAAGAAAACAAGAACAACAAATGAATTTACCATGAATACTCATTACATTTATAAACAAGGACAAATTACAATTGATGACATGAGAGAAAGAGAGCCGTTAATACTACAAACAGAAAACACTCACCTCACATAGTTTACAAAAAAAACAAAAACGAAGACAGAAAAACTCAAATACAGGAGTACCGGAAATCATCATCAAAGCCATCATGTTAAATTCATATACATCAATACTACTACCACCAACACTACTACTAGCAACCATCATCAGTGTGTGGTGCATTGAAATTCTTCCGACCTAAATGTTACTTTCCGTTTAGTTAATATTTTAACTATTTAATCTCTCCAATGAAATGAAAAAACTATTATTGAATGTAAATAATAAGTAGTACCATATGAAGGTAGCCCCATTGAAAATGTGGGGAAATAGGAAAAATACCTTAAATTGGCATATTAAAAGCCTGTCATACCAAACGAAAATTGCCTAAATTGCATTTATTGCCACAGATTAAAGTATTCATAATTAAAAGTATTCACATGAATTCGAAAACCTTCAGGACCCTTAAATTAGGAGGTATGCTGGCCATAAAATTATTCTTTCAGTGAGGCTTTCTGATTATAAAATTGATTGTGAATCGCCTTGAAAACCCTAAGAATGGAGTATGGTAAATAATTTTCTTGGAAGATATAATCAACGCCAGGAACCAAGAAAACTGAATAAAAGCCACACTATACCCTAAATGGTGTTACCGTTACCTCAGCGTGGATGAATATATTCCATAACTAATCCCATAAAACTTGCAGATATTAGAGCAACATTCCAGTTCACGGAAGAATCTACTAATTTAAAAATTTTTGAATTTTTTATAGAAAACTAGTTAAACTTGTGGGGAAGTTCGATATAAATGATGCTCTTTTTAAAAAACTTGATACTAAACAAATCTTATTAGTTTTAATTTCCTTACTATCTGAGCGAATTTGTTATGTCAAAGCAAAATTTCAAAACGTTCACTTTTAAATTGAAAATCGCGGAAACACACCAAACGTGGCTATGAACAAATGTTCCAGATTTATCGTAACTACCACAACTGGGCATATGTAAATCGTATACGAATTTTACACCGGTCTAGAATATTTACATTATAGGACAAAGGGATTATTTTGACAAGTTACAAACGGAACAAGAACTCAGTATACTATGGTAGAAATGATCAAAATAGGATGCAACACGGACACCAACTTAAGCCAAAAGGTCACAAAAGATTTATCCGAAGCTCAAAGTTTGTTCATGTTTGTAAGATAGGTTTCAACCTAAATGTTATGGGTTTTTTAAATCATTCGAAATTTTGTTGTTTTAAGGACCGATGCTGATTATACCGCTCAATGTTCGGTGTTATGAAGTTTTCATTCGTTTTTTCTAAGGTCAATATCAAATATCAAATTTTAAGAGGTTAAAAGACTTCAATGTTTCACAGTTGATTTTGATTGGCACAGACAACATTTCTGAAAAATTGAAAATTAAAAATTTTAACGACATTATTTTCATTGGTTCATCTTTCAATAGTTTGGAAGTTCGAAAGTTTTTTCTGTAGAAATTTCTGATTCCTGGTTCCCAGAGAATAAAAACATATTTAGTATTGGCCCTAATTGTGAACACTATCGGAACTTGAAAGTGTTTGTCACCACGAGTTATAGACGATGCCAGATATTCATTAAGAAGATTTGAGGAACAAGTGTGGGATTAGCTTTTTAAAATTCGTTCATGTTAATATCAATTAACATGCAGGAGAAAATTCACCTATCCTTAAAAAAAAACTCTTAGAAGAATTTGTTTCTAAAATTATAGTGCGGATTTTAATACCCTCACATCCTATTCAGAATTTCTCCGATAAATCGTTCACTTCAAATTAAGTTTTTCTCTGAGCAAAATTCCCGTAGTATTCCTGATTTAATTTTAGATACTCAAACCAAAACGCCAAGATAATGAGATGGAATTTTTGATATTTCAAATAACAAACTGTCCTGGTAAAAAACCTGTATAATAATTATTTTCTCCTCAAAGTTTTCAAATAATTTGGCGAAAAACAATTTTTTAGCGTCTATCATGAAATCGAAAATTATATCTCCAAACACTTATGGTGTATTATCCTTGTATATATGCGAGTTCAACATTCGATTTCTACCAAACCAATAAGTCAATACACCGCACACTGATGTCAAAGCTTTCACACATACTGACTATATGTAGACAATACCAACAGGATAACACAAACAACTAAACCAGCGTAAAAAACGTTGGCCGAATAAGCGACGCATAAACTGACACTTGTGTTAATACATATCTAAAACTCGACGTACAGTTAGTTAATGCAATTAATTTGTAAATGGAAACTTTTTTGCCGCAAATGACAAAAACAATTTAATGAATTTATCACAAGTACCAATACACCAAAACAAATACACACACCCACAAACCAATACACACACACACAAGTGTAAATATGTTTAATTGAGATTCACTGAATGTTTTTTGTAACACTCACTCACACACACACAAACAAACATACAAACACAAAAAATACGCATTGCATTTGCACACCACAATTCTGAATGGGCAATCAAAAATTAAATTACAAATTTTAAGTAAAGCAAGAGAAAAAAAACATCAAATAAAATTGCAAAAATAAATACTCCCCCCCCCCCCCCCCCACACCTGGAAATTGAAAACCCCCCGAATTGTGAATTGTGTGCAAAACAGCAGAAACGCCTTGGTCGTTTTTAGTTATGGAGGGCGTATGAACGGTTTACCAGCAGCAATACAAATATTTCAAATAGTTATAAGCCGACTCTAACACACACACAAACACACAGAGAAACAACTAAGCTAACAATAATCTCTACTAAATAGTTATGTGACACTTGTAAACGAATAACAACCAAAAATGCATTTGCATTACCATAAAACCAATTAAAATAAATGATTTCCATTTAAATATGCTCACACCACCACACACTCACGTATATACATACACACACACAGAGGCAAAGCAAACAGACCGCTGGACAAACGCTTAGACGCAAGACAAATAATAATAGATGGTATACAAAAACAAACACACACACAGATGCATACATAACGTGCAGCTCTCATACGCCCCCCAGTTCAGATAAATGATAGGTTTCTGAACGAAAATAAACCTCCACTCGGTCCCCACTAAAAGTGTGGACGAAAAACAAGAACAAGAAGCAGCCGCAGCAGGAGAATACGACGATGCCGACGACGACGTAGTACTTATCTAAGAGCATAATAGGAAATTGAAAATAGCCAGAAAGGAAGTAGGAAAGTATGTGAACAGACGGACGGACGGAAAACGGATGAATGAATAGTTGATGAAAATTTATAGAGAAAAATACAAGTAAACATACCAAACCCAAATTCTAAAATTACTTTATAAGCGTACTTTGTATAGGAAATGGTATACTAATGCAAAAACAAACACAAATACAAAATCAACAACAGCAACAACAAAATAAAACAAACAAACAAAAGAAATGAACGGAAACGGAAATAGAGGTAAGCTAAGTATGTAAATATTAATTTTAAAATAAATTCAAAAACATATTAGGGTTCATCACTCCATTTTCTTTTGAGGCAAATGTTCTGAAAATTATTATGAGATTTTTAATTTTTCTACAGAAAATTTACTGCAGCAAATAAAGGATCTATAATGTTTCGAAATGTTCTAAATAAAGATATTTCATGAAAAAAGTGTCCCTTTACTGCTAAAACACAGGCTCGGTGTGGGAAAAAATAAATAAAAAAAACTTAATTTTTATCCCTATTGTATCTCTTTGCGAAATATTCTTTTTAATTTTTGAATATCGCGATTAGGAGATAATTGTGATTGTGTTTGTAGTTCAGTTCAAAATGCTGCCTTCATAGCTATGAAACTCAAAATTAATCTTTTATGAATCAAAAACAATCCTACTTTCAAATGGACTTGTTCATAATATCTTCTACAATTTGTCGCAAGTGAAAATGCAGAAGCAGTGACAAACCCTAATACGCCTACACTCCTACACACACACCCACACATCGACCTATCTACACGTACTCAATACACTTAGTCCAATAACTAAATTTACGAGTGTGAAAGACATTTTCTAGCACTAACGACACGACAACAACACTCCCACACACACACACACACACTCATCCTAGCCCCACAGACATACATACATACATACCTACACCAAAACACTCAACAACACTTTCTCTTGGTATGAAAATTTAAATATATTTAATTAATAAATAATAAAATAATAATAATAATAATTATAATGATAAATAATAAAAAGAACTGCGTACTGTTGTGACTTTTATGATTAAATATTAAAAACAAAAACAAATATAAAAAATTGACAAAAACAAAGCAAAGGTAAATAATGAAAAAAAAAGAAAGAAACCATAATTATATTATTAACAATAATAGTGAAACAGCAACAACAACAAAGAAAAACATTACCAACAACAACATAAAAACAAACAAAGAAAAAATATTAAATAAATAATGAATGTGTTTGCAAGAAGTTCTTAAACTAACAAAAACAAAAAAAAAACTCACACTTTAGTATTTAGAAAAAAAAAAACAAAACAAAAGAAAAACCAAAAATGAAATCGATTGAGAATTCATTGATTTAATTTTAGTTAAATGAATTATTGAAATAAATTAATTAATAAAACAAAACCAAAAACCCCAACAGAAAGTAATAAAATACAAACAGCAACAAAATTATTATTGTAAGCAAAATCAGAGAAAAAGAAAACCACACACAACAAATAATTGGCTAACAAACAACAACAACACACGATTGATACGAAACATACAAAATTGAACAACAACAACTAAAACAAAACAAAACATTTTGAAACAACACTAAAAAGAAATAACATTTT